CTTCACGATATTGGTTCTTCCTAACCATGAGCATGAAATGTTTTTCCATCTGTTTGTGTCGTCTCTTATTTCCTTCAGCAGTGGTTTGTAGTTCTCCTTGAAGAGGTCCTTTATATCCTTTGTTAGTTGTATTCCTAGGTATTTTATTCTCTTTGTAGCAATTGTGAATGGCAGTTTGCTCTTGGTTTGGCTCTCTGTTAGTCTGTTATTGGTGTATAGGAATGCTTGTGATTTCTGCACATTGATTTTGTATCCTGAGACTTTGCTAAAGTTGCTTATCAGTTTCAGGAGATTTGGGTCCGAGACAATGGTGTCTTTTAAATATACAATCATGTTGTCTGCAAACAGAGACAATTTGACTTCCTCATTTCCTAATTGAATACCCTTTATTTCTTTTTCTTGCCAGATTGCTCTGGCTAGAATTTCCAATACTATCTTGAATAGGAGTGGTGAGAGAGGGCATCCTTGTCTAGTGCCAGATTTCAAAGGGAATGCTTCCAGTTTTTGCCCATTCAGTATGATGTTGGCTGTAGGTTTGTCATAAATAACTTTTATTATTTTGAGATATGTTCCATTGATACCTAGTTTATTGAGAGTTTTTAGCAAAAAGGGCTGATGAATTTTGTCAAAGGCCTTCTCTGCATCTATTGAGATAATCACGTCGTTTTTATGTTTGGTTCTGTTTATGTGGTGGATTATGTTTATAGACTTGGGTATGTTGAACCAGCCTTGCATCCCCAGGAGTAAGCCTACTTGATCGTGATGGATAAGCTTTTTGATGTGCTGTTGCAATCGGTTTGCCAGTATTTTATTGAAGATTTTTGCATCTATGTTCATCATGGACATTGGCCTGAAATTTTCTTTTTTTGTTGAGTCTCTGCTAGATTTTGATATCAAGATGATGTTGGTCTCATAAAATGATTTGGGAAGGATTCCCTCCTTTTGTATTGTTTGGAATAGTTTCAGAAGGAGTGGTACCAACTCCTGATTGTACATCTGGTAGAATTCAGCTGTGAACCTATCTGGACCTGGGCTTTTTTTGTTGGTAGGCTATTAATTGCTGCCTCAACTCCAGCCTTCTTCTACTTCTCATGTGGCCATGAGTAAGTCACTGAGCATACCTGAACTTCTTCATCTTTAAAATATTCTTTCAGAAGGTTGTTCAAAGGACTAATGAAGTAAATGGTAAATTGCAAAGTAAATGAAGTACTTTACTTCATGAAGTAATAAAGCAAACGGTAAATAGATTACAAAATATTTTAATTGTTCTTCCTAAGTTCCAAGGTAACTATAAAATTTTGAAATATTTTCTAAATTCTCTAAAAAGTCTGTAATTTTGCAGAAATTTAGTTAATTCATCAAGATAATAACCCACTTTTATATCTGTTAGTGTCCTTGGAAGATTATTATTAGTAATCCCTTAAATCTTATTTAAAAATGAAGTATATTTAATTAAGTTCTTCATCTATGAAACTTGCCAATTTATATACTTGGATATTTTGTGTTTCCCTAATAATCAGAAAATTTGTAAGCCAAAATTTTTTTTCCTCAACAGTACTATCTGTTCATTTTCTTTATTAAAGACCAGTTGTAATATTTTTCATAACACGTGGAACATTTAAAATGTTATTAGATGATCACATTTTTATTTGTGATAATCATGATTAACAATAGCTTCGTTTACTGAGCTCTCCATTGTGACAGACACAATGCAAAGCATTGTACATGTTTACCACATTTAATCCTCACAGCAATACTGATGTGCAAGTATATAAGTAAGGCACAAAATATGTAAGTAACTTTATCTAAAATCATCCTTTAAGAAATAGAAAGAGAGGTTGAGCCCAGGCATTCTGATTCCAGAGCTAAGGCACATTACATTTAAGCCATGCTACATTGCCAGCATTGTGTAATCTCTTGCATATCCCAAAATGCAACCTCTGAACACCATGATTCCTGGGAGGCTAACCTGAGGGTCTTAGATACCAATAACAATGATTTAAGTGAAACTCCCAAAACCTTTGAAAGTACTTTCTAATCTGTTTTTCAGTTTTTCTGACATACTCTCAACTATACTTGCATGGAAATCAAGTAGACCACTTTTGTTTTCACATATTTGATAGTCAGAGATAAAAAGGAAAAATAATAGCCTATTTAAGAGAGTAGTTTTCATGTATTCCCCAACGAATATAACTTGTCATTCCCCAACAGAGTGTAATCACAATGAATAAAAGTAGTTTTTTAAATTACACTATAATTTTATGTAGACATTCACATGTACAGGTTCTGTTTGCTATATTTTACTCTCTTGAACTTGTAAATACTAGTGAGTAATTATAAGCTAATTTAAATTGTTATTAGATCATCATGGAGATTTCTGCATTTGCTGAAACATATAATCAAAATTGTTCATTGAATTAATTCAAGAGTCAGAAACTAGAAAATTTGATGTAATTTAGTTTGCATAGCTAATCTTCATGGTGAAACTGCAGGGACAGACCTAGAAGCTTATCTTTACCACGCTCCACACACACACACACACATATCATGTTGAAGCAGATTATGTCTTCAGTTCTTCAAGTTTCCACTTGGTTTCCTGTCATTGTATTATCATTATCTTGAGAGAAATAATTTTTTTTCACTTGAAATGAATTTCAAGTGAAACGAAGATTCACATTATCACTGCTCATTCAAAAATATTTTCTTTACAAACAGGCATAGGCATGTGAGTGCATGCACACACACACAAACGCATAAAGCAGCCTCTACATATGAATGGATTGACTTCAGAAAGTATATTTGGAAGACTTTTTTAAAATCCCAATGATAAGTTCCCATGGGAGTAGTATTATGTTACTATTCCACCACAAAAGTCTATTTATCTCATATTTTAGACCGCTTAAAATACTTATTTTATGGGATCATCCTTTCTCAATTTCCCCTCCAAGCACAAGGAACATAATCTTGTACACTACTAATCCTAGGACACTCTCTGCCAGTATACCCATGATAATCCCACTGTTTTCAATGGCATGTATGCTATCACCCAGGACAGTTATCAAAACCAGTGATATTCCTGGTTGAGGATAATCATATAGACGTTAAGAAATCATGTTTATATTTTCAAAATGTTAAATAAATACTACAATTCAGTTCCAAATTTTCAAATCCTGAGCATTCAAGCTTTTTCGTGTTATAGAAGTTAGTAGAGGGTGTATTGATGTGCAAAACTGAAAACAGAAAATGCTGACCACAAAGTATATGTTGTTAATGTTGTGTTTTATTAATTTCTTATTTTCTGGTTGTCAGCATTGCCATGTAGCTAGTAACTGAAAAGTACAATATATATTAACCACTTTTTTCAAGAAATCACAATTATTAGAATTTTTTGAAGTTCTGATTAAGTCATTAGTATGGAATGAAATCAGCAATTCTAGAAAACTGATACTTTTAAAAAATTTTCTTATTTCAATAGCTTTAGGGGTTCAAGTGGGTTTTGCTTACACAGATGAATTGTATATTGGTAAAGTCTAGGATTTTAGTGCACATGTCACCTGGGTAGTGAACATTGTACTCAATAGGTAGTTTTTCATTGCTCACCCTCTTCTCACCCTTTCCCTTCTGAGTCTCCAGTGCCTGTTATACCACTCTGTGTGCCTTTGCATACTCATAGCTTAGTTCTTACACTTATAAGTAAGAACTTATGTTATTTGGTTTTTGTTTCTGAGCTTCTTCACTTAGAATAATGGTCTCCAGTTCCATCCAAGTTACTGAACATTTTTTCATTCTTTTTTGTGGCTGAGTAGTATTCCATGGTGTGTGTGTAGGTATATATATGTGTGTGTATATGTATATATTCCACATATTTATCCCACATATATACCCCACATTTATATATAATATATAATGTGTATCATATATCTCCTATATGACATGTATCAAAATATCATATATATTTCACATTTTCTTTATCCACTCACAGGTTGATGGACAGTTAGGTTTATTTCATATCTTTGCAATTGTGAATTGTGGTGTATAAACATGAGTGCAAGTGTTTTTATGAAATAGTGTCTTCTTTTCCTTTGGGTAATCAGTAGTGGGATTACTGGATCGAATGGTAGATTTACTTTTAGTTCTTTGAGAAATCTCCACACTGTTTTTCATAGAGACTGTACTAATTTACATTCCTAGCAGCAGTGTATAAGTGTTCCTTTTTCACATCCATGCCAAAAGCTATTGTTTTTGACTTTTTAATAATGGCTGTTCTGGCTAAAGTATCTCATTGTGAAAGATATGATTTTTCTTTTTAAAGGGTGACCTTATTTTTTATGACTTTATTTATTTTGCAGGAAATTATTTTTTAGTCAATAGGTTTCCATTTTAGTCAGCTTGGGCTGCTGTAACAAAATACCATAGACTGGGTGACTGAAACCACAGACTATTGCTTAGTTCTGGAGGCTAGGAAGTCCAAAGTCAAGGTGCTGGTAAATTTGGTTCCTTGTGGAGGTCCTCACTGTGGCTTGAAGATAGCTTCCTCCCTGTGTCTCCACATGGCAGAGAGAGAGGTCTACTCTTTTTCGCTTTTCGTCTCTCTCTCTTTTTATAAAGACACTAATCCCATCACAGAGGTTCCACTCCTAACCTCCCCTGAACCTAGTTACCTCCCAAAGGCCCTACCTACAAATCACATTGGGGACTGGGGCTTCAATATTTGAATTTTGTGGGGACCATATTCAGTCCACGGCAGTCTCTAATTAGAGAATATGCGTAAATTTCATACACCTGGTGTTTTTCAGTTTTGTTTAATTGGAATGCCAGAAAAGTCAAGCACTCTCCATTTATTGTGGTCCCTGATGCTCCCTGGCAGCTTGCTCCTTGCCAGAGCATCTTCATGGTATTTTCTAGCAAAGATCTTTGGGTATTTGAATTTTAGACCATTTAACTTGTAAATATTTATCAAAATGTTGGTATTAAAATACTCTTTCAATTCTCTCTTACAGGATGGAGAACCTAATAAGGGGAAGGAATCCCCCGCAATACCAGAGAAGTCCCTGTAAAGAGGTTCGTGCAGCACTTCGGAAGAGGCCTGAAGAGGAGTGTAAGTATGTTTAATAGGATTACCTGTGTTCTAGATAGATTTTGGTGAATAGCATAGTAAAATGAAATGGGTGACCTTTAAATGGTTAGCCAAGTAATAGAATATTTGTTTAATTGAATTGATCTTTTAAAATAATCTACTTTATGTTACCTGAATGTAAGTGCTTACTTAGAACATTGCTTTCTTAAGAGTATTTTTCTGGTGCTTCAATATGTTCTACTGATAATCAAGTTCCATGTTCAAATGCAATGGGAAAAGACTGTACAATCTGACAAATCTTTCTTAGATTTTATACCATGCATGGTAATGGTTCTGAGAAGTCCTGAAGTAAAGAAACTTTTGAAATGTATCTAAAAATCAACACTTTCCAGTTTCCTTTTAACCACAGGGCTCTTTTGACATTTTGTTTAACTGAGAACTTTTAAAAATCACCACACTAGACAAAATAATAGATATCTTCCAGTAAATGTAAATCTGTTTGCCAAATGGAAACATTTGATGTAATTGAATTTAGGAAATTGTTCTGAAAGATAGATACCATGAATCCCAGTATAAAGTCATTTTAGTTCATCCTCAAATTATTAGATACTAGAATATGCCGTTGGCTGTAGGGATTTTATGTGCTTATTATCTATAGCATATAGTAGATTGTTGGAGACTCTTGACATATTCATTCACATTTTAAGTTTATAAAATGAATGATAATACTAAGTTTTTTCATGGTATTTGATTATTTTTCAGGAAACTAAATCACATTTCATTATGATAAAAATTTTTCAGAATTTTGTCCTTTTACAGGAACTTACATTTTACAAGGATAAAGCTAATGTAGTGGGTTTACTGAAGTATAGAATTAAGTAGATTTTTAAGATTATACTGGCATTTTTAAATTAGTTTGAAGTATACTGCTGTGGGTAAAGACCAACTATATTAAAGCAGGGTACACTCATGGCAAACGGAGTGTTTTTGTTTTGTTTCTTATTAAGTTAATAGATAACCTTACTGAACTGACATATATGTCATTCAATCATGTTTTTGTCTTCTTTAAATAGATAGGTTTATTTAACTAAACACAAACAATATTTAACTAAAACTAAAACTTGAAAATAAAGATAGAGTTTGTGGGCATTTAAAAAATGCAGACTCTTGCTTAAAGTATTGCTTATTTCCATTGGGTTTATAGAAAAATTTTAGGGTTTCCTCTCTATGCTTCAAGGAGACCATCAGTTTAGTCTCTGGTTTGTAGATATTTAAATAAAATTTAGAAGGGATATTTGCAGATATATCTGCAAATGATTATCACAGAATTGCCATTTAACATATACAAAGTGATTTTTCAGTGTTCTTATACTGAGTTGGTCTAAGCCAGGGGTTGGCCAATTATGGCTTGTTGATGAAACTCAGACTGGCACCTGTTTTTTAAGTACAATTTTACTGAAATACAGCCATCATTCTACTTATTGTATATTATGTACAACTGATTTTGCACTGCAAAGGAAGAGTTGAGCAGTTGTGACAGAGACCAAATGGCCCACAAAACCAGAAATATTTACCTGGGTCTTTACAGAAAATCTATATGAACCCTAGTCTGAGCCAGTCATTCTCAAATTGTGATCTACAGGCCTAGGAGCAGTAACAGCAGCAGCAGCATCTGGGAACTTGCTTAAAACGCAACTTCTAGAGCTGCAAGCCACACCCACTGAATCAGAAACTGAGCGGGGTCTGGTGACCTTTTTTTAAAGAAGCTCTGCAGGAGATTCTGATGCAAGCTCAAGATTGAAAATGACTAACCTAGGTAAAATGATTGACATCAAATGATATTAAATCATTATCTACACAAAAGAGGAATAATCTTTGGTGTATTTCATAATCAAGTTTTATTGTTCTCTAATGTAAAATATATGTGTTAAGCTACCTAATGTGTGCTTAACAAGGTACATGATATAACTCTTGCTTATGTTATAAGTTCTCATCAATTGGATTATGACAGTCAGGGCAGTCTTTGAAGTGTCACCACAGAAATTCAGCTGGAGTATGTTACTGAACATGAAAAGATGTATTGAAAAATGCAAAATCTATAAAATTTTATTCTCTTCCATAGAGGTCTTTATTTTCTCTTGTTAGTACAATGAGCAGTTCTTCTTTCACTGTTACAGACTAGTGTGAATTCCATGAGTAAGAAAAGCCACAGTTTTTTTGTAATAGAAGCAACATATCATGATAGTTAAAACTATTAACTTTAGAGAGACAAAAAAGGGTTTATTCTCTAATATGACACCTAATGTGACCAGTTGCAGGACCATGAATACTTATTTTGAATATAAAAATCAGTTTATTTACTGAAGAAAATGAGGATATGCTAGAGCCTACTTTATAGAATTATTTTGAGTATTAAAGGAGATATTTATATTAAGTAGTTGGTACAGAACCTGTGATGTAGCAAGTTTTCTTTTCTTTTTTCTCTTTCTGTCTCTTTCTTTAACTTTTAATATTGTCCTTCTTATTTCAAACTAAACATTTGTTTGAGGATAATAAGGCATTTTTTGAGATCAGAAATGCAAATGCACAGATATTACCACCACTATTTTTGGAAATAATAATGCATGACAAAGAAGTTGTAGCAAATACCATAAAGCTGAAATTCTTGCAGCAATCTTAAATGGTAATTCCTGTTTGATACTAGTTTGTTTTCTTTTTTTTTTTTTAACACAATGGAATAGTTCTTTTTCTGTGATTCTACAGATTCAGTATAGATCTACACCAAGACTTGTTGGTCAACTCCCACACAAATGTGCCACCTTCGAAAACTTTCATAGAAAGTCACATCATAGCAGCTTTTCTGTACTAAGAATTGAAAGGCATAAGGAAACTTGGTTCAGACCATAAGATCCTTCATAGTAAAGAAATTTCTCTTTCATTTGGAGATGTTGTATACAGGAAAGTTTTGTTAAATAGCATACTTTGTATTGTTTTCTTTTATAATGCTCTATACCACTTTACAATATTTGCAATGTTAAAATCAAAATAAGGTCACCAGAGGTAGATAGTTATTTAATGTGAATTATATCTACCTATGCTGCATCTGGCACCGTCAAGTAAATGTTCAGTAAAAATAGATTATTCCAAACGAAAGATTTTTAAACATGTTTAGATTATTCCGCATTAAAATACAAAATAAAAGCCTTGTCCTCAAAGCCATAGCCCCATTCAGTTACCACCCTGCACTCTGCTCTATTTCCAGGAAAGTCTCTTGATATATCTAAGAGTTATCTATAATTGCTCCATTTATTTGTCTCCCACTCACTCCTCCAAGGTAGTCCAGTCTGGTTCCTACCCATTCATTCTACAGAAACAGCTTTTGTTCAGAGCACCAATAATTTTTTTATGTTGTTTTAATAGTTTTCTACTGCTGTGTAACAAATTAGGACAAACCTGTGTCTTAGAATAACCTGCATTTATCATCTCACATTTTCTGGAGATCAGAAGTCCAGGCACTAAGTCCAGGCTGAGTTCTCTGCTTCAGATCTCACCAGGTTAGAGTCTCATCAAAACTAAGTTGGGAAAATCATTCACTTATGAACTCCTTTAGGCTGCTGGAAGAATTTTTTTCCTTGTGGTGGTCTGACAAACAGTCCCAGGTTTTTGTTGGCTGCCAGCTGAAGTCACTTTTAGGTTCTAGAGGCCTCCAGAAGTTCCTTGCTGCACAGACATTCCAAATTAGCCAATTTACTCCCTCTTCTCAAGGAGAATTACGTGTCTCTCTTTTAAGTGCTTCCACCTGATTAAGTCAGGCACACCCAAGATAATTTCAATTTTGACTAACTCAAAATGTGGGATCATAATTACACCATTGCCTTTGCCATATTTTATTGTCCAGAAGAAAGTCATAGATCCAGCTTATATCCAAGGACAGGGGATTATATAGGGTTCAAGCATCAAGGAGTATGTTGATGATCATGGGACCATCTTAGAAGTCAATATATCATTTGGTAATCCATCAAGCATTTTTTTCAATGCTTATCTTACTTGACTTTTTAGCAGGGATCAATACTGTTGATTATTTTGTCCTTTTGAAAACTACAATGATCTGAATATTACTATCCCTCCAAACTGTATTATGTTAAAATCCAATTAATATTATATTAGGAGATAGGCTTTTTGGAGGTAATCTATGACAAGGCACCATCTGTGAACCAGAAAGCAGGACTTACCAGCTACCAAATCTGCTAACATCTTGATCTTGGATTTCCCAGCTTCCAGAAGCGAGAAATAAATTTTTGTCGTTTATAAGCTACCTAGTTCATGGAATTTTGTTATGGCAGCATGAATAGGCTAAGACAGAGATAATCTAATGCCTTGGCTACCATAATAGAATACTATCCTGATTTTTCTATAATCTTCCTGGTTACTCTCTTGCATGCTCAACTTTCTCCTTCCAGCCATTGTATATTAGAATTTTGGAAGATAGTTTGAAGTCTTTTTTTTTTCCAAATATACTTCCTCCCCAGATAATGTCATTACATATAGTGCTAGTTACTCCTATAATCAGATGACTCACAAATCGATATCTCCAGAGCAAACCTCTCTCTATTCATCACAATGTGCACTTGACACATTCTTGAATGTTTCAACAATGCATCAAACACAACAAATCCAAGACCAAATCTACAATCTTTTACTTAAAGCCCGAGCTTCTTGCAGTGTTTTCTGTCAGAATGTGTGATGCCATTAAGGTTCAAAATTCATAAACCTGGGAGTCATCTTTCATACACTTTATCCCCTTTACTCTCCTAGCTTCACTCTAATTTCAAGGCCTCTCAACTTGACCTCCTACACATGTTTTGAATCTGTTCACAAATCACCTTTGTAAATATTCTGCGTAAGATTCAACCAAATGCTCCCTAAGTGGCTCTCCTACACACAGTTAGGAAACCCCCTTTAACTTAAAATAACCCTATGGTTTTCCATTGCTCATTCAAGAAAGACAAAAGCCATACTGT